CTTCTGTATATCTGAAAAGTGAAAAAATATCTAACGCAATTCTATAAAATTATTTAATGGTTTTGATGAGATACATCATGAATTCAATGAATTTTTTTAAAATCAATGATATTAAAAATTTAAAAAATAATAGTCTCAAGAACTGCATCTATTGCTTTAAATATAGGGTTGGCAGAAAAATAATTTCAGTTTTTTTAGTGTGAAATAAAATTCGATTTCCTTTCATACAAAAATGAGCTTCAGTTCCGATGAATGAAATGTCTTCCATTCTGTTCGATAACCTTTTGCCATATTTTTGTATCTTCATGATTCCGCGCTCATAGGACTTCTAGTCTTTATCAGCACAAAACTCTATCAGAGTAATAATTCGATAGTGCAAGGTCTGGGCTATAGGGAGCTGAACCATCATTTCCCAAACAAGCTCCAATTATTTCGTACGTGTTTCTAAAGATCTGTGAGGACTCGTGGAACATGATTCCTTTGCGATTTGCCAATTCTTCTCTCTTTGATTGTTTCCTCCAGTTTTATAAGTTGTTGGCAGGAAGCATCTAAGTTAATCATTTGTGGAAGCTCAAAACACGCAACACCTTTGTAATCCCACCAAACTCATTGCATAAACTTTTTTTGATGAAATTTATTTTCGATACGATATGTGCTGATTCATCATGCTTTGACCATGATTTTTTTTTCGATTAATCTTACTGTCGACGTTTCATTTTTCCTGGCCTGTGATAATTCGTTTCAAAAAAAGGGTTGATTGCATTACGTTTGATATGTGTATCGCAAATATTGTTTCATTGTGTTGTGATGTTGGGAGGCCCCAACTTGTCAGCAATAGTAGTAGTGACTGCTATGACCTGGAAATTACACAGACTCTTAAGAAGGGTTTAACTCGCTTTTTATTTCACTTTAGAAATCACAGTTGCGTTCACTTGACGCTCACAAACTACGCCGAACCGGCGGTTAAACAAAAATAGAAAAGTACAACTAAAAATAAATGACAGGATGAATAACTAACGAAGTCACTATCTACGAGGCTCTATAATCGTAACTATCTTAACCGCGTTCTAAGATACAGCTGAGATTCAGCAAACTTTCTGATTAAGAATTTGAAAGATTCAACGAACTGTCGAAATAGGCACACAGGCCGAAACGCGCGGTTCTTAAACTTTCTTCCAAGCAACCTTCCCGCTCGTGATTCAAGAAGCACACCTACAATCTCGTTTCCCTTCTATTTAAACTCAATTACTTCTGCTAAAAGTTGAATACTCTGCTCGTTCTACTTAAATTTACATACTCTGGCATTGGCAATTCCAGGGGAAAGTAAAGGCTTGACATGAAAGATAGCTTAAAATAAATGTTAGTTAAAATAAATATAAACCCTACAGTGTTAAGCGAATTTTTTTCAATTAATCCAGAAACCAAATATTGAGCTTCTTAATGAGTCCAAGACATCTTAGATTATTTTCACTTGCTGTATATGATACATTTGACCCTTTTGAAGTCTCTCGTATAATATATGGCGATTCGATTCAGTTATGGCTTTAATTTTGTCATCATCAACTTCAGAATGTTGCTCCTCTTCAAGTGAAAAATCTCCGGAACAAAATTTTTTTAACGAATTCTGACACATGCGTTCTGTGAAGGGGACTCATACACCTTAAAACCCATAAGATCTTCGAATATGTGACTGTTGCAAGGTTGTTGGGATAACTAATTTATTGTTAATTAATTTATGTTGTTGGGATAACTAATTTATTTTCAAAGCAATTGCTTCCAACATTTTACAGCTGACTACATAATATAGCTGCTTTCTGAAATAGTAATCAGAACGTTTGAGCTGCCACAAATATTTTTGTAATTTAATCCGCTTTGTGACAACATTTTTCGTCATGTTTCCACCTTGCGCGGTCAGTTTAAAACATTCTGTCGCATACTTTAAATTTAATTCCATATTTAATATGCAGCTTTAATAAATTTGAAAACTACTGTGAACCAAAAATTCTAAGAATTTCATGTTAAATTTTTATTTTATTTGGAGTTGAGTTTATAAAATGTATTTTATTAAAAAAATCTTCAATGTTTTCATAAAATTTTTTATACTAAAATATTCATCATATTTTTGGTCCAGTTAGAAGACAGTGCCCATATAAAGAATTCCATCCAATTTCAAGTATGTACCCTTAGCCATTTTTAAAATATCATGCGCGCGAGGTGGAAATATGACGAAATATTTTGTTCCAAAACGGATTAAATTACAAAAATATTTGTGGCAACACAAACTTTCTGGTTACTAGTTCCCAAAGCAGCTATATTGTGTAGTCAGCTGTAAAAAGGTGAAAGTAATTGCTTTTAAAATAAATAAAGTATTCCAATTCTTGCAACAGTCCCATATTCGAAGATCATAAGGGGTTTAAGAGGTATGAGCCCCCTTAAGCAATCAACAGCAACACTTCACATATCTCTTTGTGAGCTTCGGCCGTTTTCTTACTTGAAATAAAAAGTCAAATATGTCGAAAACATTTTCTTTTGTACCCCATGTTAAAAGTGACCGTAAAATAACAGTTGTAAACAAATTACACGGAATTTGTTTCTATGCAAACTAAAAGCATCAGCTGCCAAATCGTAGAAGAAAAAAAGTTATAAGATCAACAGAAGAATAACAAAACGAAAGTTACTGTATCTATTTGTGCAAACCGGAATTATTCTTTTGTCAACCCAATAACTTAATCTGTTAATTCGTAACAGACAGATTAAATTTAAAAGATAAATATGTTACATTTTGCCGAATGGCAATTGACTGGAATGAAAATCGAAACGAAGCATTTACATCTGACGACATTTAAAGCGAATCGACGCAAATTCCTGTTTTAAGACTAATAATTCTTTTGAACTAATAATGCAAAACGTAAATTTCCGCTGATACCTCAAAGTAGAATTTGTCCTTAAAAATAAGAAAAAGATAAAAAATTTAAATAAAAAGTATTCTATGATTATTTCACTTTTGTTCTTAAATAAAAAGGATGTACTACCGCCAGCTCAGAAAACTAATTCTTTGCTATGGAATAAATTAAAAAGACGGTTTTTAAAGTTTTAAGGACTGACTTCTGTGTCCGGACGGGGGAAGGGAAAGAAAAGAAAGGAAAAAAATCAGAAAATAAAAAAATGCATTACCGTTTTGAATAAAATGAGTATATATATAATTCAAAAAATGGGAGAAAGGAAGTCAAATAATTTAATTCCATTAATTGCACGCTAACTGCTGCTACAAAAAGAGGGTCGATAAGTGGTAGACTGTGATATACTTGTCTGCTCCCTGATGAGAACATCTTGAACGGTCCATCTCTTATTACAGTTCCCGATTATATAAATAAATTGTATTCTTAAAAAAAAAAAAAAAAAAAAGTCTGAAGGGTTTCAGATTATAAATTACGTCCAGAGGGGCGTTTTGTTTACATTTTGTCTGTTACCTTTATTTATTAAATATCACGTTCTTCGCACTTAAACCATAAAACTCAGTTCAAGACCAATATCGCAGAATAGTTTTAAAATTCAGCATATCTTTAGAATTTCCAATACGCAGTCTCGCGCGCTGGAGATAATTAAAAATTTTTTTTTTTTTTTTTTTTTTTTTTTTTTTTTACAACGTTGCCATGGCTAACTTTGAAATTCTTGAATTTGCTAATTAAAAATTCTTTAAAGATTTACAAAATATGAAATCGATAATAAAACAAATCTCGAATTTCACATTTGGGCTTCCACATGCCCATATTTGCAGTAGGATTACGTCATTTAAAATTCGATGGCTCTATGTACCGTTGTTTTATCACACTGCGAGAAATACACATATATTTATGCAGATTTTTCAATATTTAATTTCTTCAAATATAATGCAGGACTCTAACATTTGGTGGCAACAGTTTGAAAAGTGAAACAGACATTTATAGTGAATCAACACAAAATCGGAAAGCGAAAGCAATAGTCCTTTCAGGGATAAAGCCCCTTTGGACTAAATAATAATAATAATAATAATAATTTTAAAAAATCTGAAGTGTTTCAGATTTTAAATTACGTCCAAAGGTGCGTTTTTTTAACGTTTTGTATGTTACCATTATTTGTTAAATATCATGTTCTTCGCACTTAATCCATATATTTCAGTTCAATAGCAATGTCGCAAAATAATTTTAAAATGAGCCTATCTTTAGAATTTCCGATACACAACTCCTCGCGCTGGAGATAAAAAGGTTCCTCCCCCCCCCGTAGAGTATTGCCATTGCTTGCTTTGAAATCCTTAAGTTTGTTAATCAAAAATTCGTTAAAGTTTTACAAAAAATCGATAATAAAACAAATTCCAAATTTCAAAATTGGTCTTCCACATGCCCATATTCGTAGGAGGATTACGTCATTCAAAATTCGATGGCTCTATGTACCGTTGTTTTATCACAATGCGAGAAATATACATATATTTATGCAGATTTTTCATTATTTAATTTCTTCAAATATAATGCAGAACTCTAACATTCAGTGGCAACAGTTTGAAAAGGGATTCTACGTTTATAGTGATTCAACGCAAAATCGCAAAACGAAAACAATAGTCCTTCAGAGACAATGCCCCTTTGAACTAAAAAATAAATTTGTAATTCTAATTTTTGCTTCATCTTATGTGAAATATGAGCTTAAACTAAGAAGTACAAAATCTGTCTTAAGAGTTTATTGATGAACAAATACGACAAAGGTTTTATACTTTTATAAGATACTTATTCTGTTTGTACGTACTAAAATTTTTAGTTTAATTAATAAAAGAATATTTGATACATTGTATAAAACATGCAGTGTATGACAGTCTATGCAGTCTGTGGTATTCTTTTGAAGACAAGTTTTATCTTATCTTGGTAATCACCTTGAAAATGCGCGCCACTTCATTCAAGAGCGTTGGCGAAAAAAACGTGACAGTTGGCGACGAATAAAGCTGTTTAATGTAACCCTTACTAGCAATGCCTGAAAGATGACATTTTAAAACGTCAGGTAGGAAGAATAGTGTGCAGATTTGTGAAAGGTGTGGGGTTTGGTTGTGTGTTAATGCTTTGCAATTATTGTATATTTTGAAACGAAATTGACTTTAAAACTGGATTTTTTTTTCGTTCTTCGTACTGAACTGAGCTGCTTACACTATTATACTATTTTTGTTGGATGATCGGCATTATAAGCTTAGCAAGAACAGTAGAACACGTTGCCGATTGTAGAACTCATTAATTTTGTCACTATATATTTGGGTTATTAAATTAAAATATCATTTAAAATTTGGATGATGAATTTATCTTTTGCTGGCTGCGGTTTTCTGGGGATTTATCATGTTGGAGTTGCGAGTTGCTTCAGAGAGTATGCTCCTCATCTTTTGGTCACCAAAATTGCTGGAGCATCTGTTGGTTCTATTGCAGCAGCAGCACTGATCTGTGATGTATCCTTAGGTACTTGAAAATTTATGTTATAGAAACCTTTTTCAAGTCATATAATTTTTTTACAAAGAATAACTTATTTCTAGCTGGTTATAAAATAAATGCTGTTCTGCAAAATATAACAACGTATTTTAATGTATCAGTAAATTTCAGAACTGCACTTGTTCTTTGGTTTTAAAAGTAGTAGAATGCCTTAAATGTTTCTTATATGAATATTTAAATTTTTTGTTATTGAAGTACTTTTCTTTTTTAAGCTACATAAAGAACTGAAATATAAAGTAATCACTTATTAGATAATATATGATTCTTATGTTAATTATTGTTCTCAATAGAAATATATTAATTTTGATCTTAATTCAATATGTGAAGGTGAATTTAATATAATAAACACATTCTCTATCATACAGAATCAAAAAACAAAACATTAATAATGAAATCTTTCTTGAAATGTTGATTAGTAACTATATATAGTTACAAGTTTGTTAAATAAGACTAATTAGTTAATGAGTAAAAATTTCAATTTGTGTTACTCTGAAATGTGGTATGGTAAATTTGCAGCAGATTTTATATTTGATGATTTCTTACTCCTCCTTAATAGTACATATTACTGCTCCTTAATACGGCATAATATGTATCAATAAAAATTACAACACAATAGTCATGCAGTGTACTATAATATGTGGTTGGATCCTAGCAGAGCCCACACCCTTGACGCGAATGATTTTGGTTATGGCGCATATCAATTTGTAGGGAGTGTGCAATTCTCTGATGTTTTTTTAAGTGAAAATAGGTCGATGTTGTACATGGATATCGAGTTTATACAATTCTTTGACTTGTTATTTTCAAGTTGGCGATTTTGAGAAATGCTCGAAGTAGTGCGCACTTTCCCAGTTTGTCACCAAGGGTGTGAGCTCTACTAGGATTTTTGTTATATGCATGTAATATGTCGTGTGTTATAAGATTATAATTCTTCATTCTTCTTTATCTCGGAAGATATCCGATTGCATTGAATTTTGTTTTGCATGCACTCTATTTTATGTAATTGTGATTCTTTGTAGATTATTTCATGAAATAATTCTGCTTTTAGTTACAAATAAGTATCAATAACTCTTACTTAGCATTTATTTTCAAATTATTGTTCAGATTAATTTTTATCGTAAGTAGTATGTTGATGAGTTTAATAAATTTTAATTATGCTTTAAAAAAGTAGAAAATAAAGTACTATAAAACCGTGTGTAATATATTCAAACTTAGCACAATATCGAGTGAAACATCTGTTTGTATCGTTTCTGAAAATGAACCGTATTCTAAGAACATAAATAATACTGGTACTGAATATTGCAACAATACTGAAGTTATGTCTCAAATAATTAATATGCTGTAGAGACTAATGGGATAATTTAATACTGAAATAATAATTGAATAGTACAAAAGTAGCTAAATTGAAATATTTAAAAGTATTCTAATATTGAACTGTTATAATTTTTTTTATATTACCAATTAGCAAAATATTACAGAGACTTAAATAGGCTGGGCATCTGGCTAGAATGAATGAAGATCGTTGTTGCAAGAAAATCTTTCTAGCAAAGCCCATGGGAAATAGACCTTGCGGCAGGCTCCCGCTAAGATGGTTTGATTGTATCGAAAAAGATCTTAATATTTTAAAAGTTAAAAACTGGAAAACATTTGCCAAAAGTAGAGTTGCCCGGAGAAGGCCAGAGCCCACCCAGGGCTGTCGAGCCATTGAAGAGGATGATTAGCTAAATGACTGAAAAAGTGAAACATTATTAGAGTCTCTTGGCACCTGTTTTTATGGTTTCCTTCATGTGCAATAAAAAGGGTCAGTTTTTCTTAGAAAATGTGATATGAGAGCATCCCTTTTCATCTAGAATTCGGCATTTTACTGAGTATTTTTCCTATCTCTTATTGTGTTCAAGTGCATATTAATTATTTATTTCTTTTTTATCAGTGTTAATAGTGAATTTTTGTTATGAATGATGTTTAGATAAATTGGTGAAGCTAACAAATGCATAGAATATCAACGTGGCTCCAATAAGAGTAATAGAACATTGCACAGAACATAAATTAATTTGAAAGAAAAAAATGTATTGTATCCTTGTTGGTTGTGCCCCTCCTTATCCATGATATGAAGTATAGAATATTTACTTGGTAACATCCATGGTGGTTGTGATTCTTGTAGGCTTTTTCATCCCGTGTCTGCATACAGCACTGCTGTAAGAATGCTTGCAGCATATTTAGTATTTCATGTGCTTATTTTATACATATGTTTAATGCAAAAGTGAAGTCTATTATGAAAATATACTGAAATAATTACATATATATGAACATTACTTTGGATAAATAAAATAAACAACTTATGAATGAAGATAAAAATCAATAGCAGAGCATTTGGAGACAGAGCATTTTGCCACCTGGTGCAATCTCTGTGTGTCCCAAATTCTGCCAACCCATCCCCTAAATTTGAAAAAGTTTTGCCATCCTGAAATTTTACTGATCAGCACTTCTCAAAATTCTTAACATTTTGCCATCGCTAAATTCTATTGGTTGCACCCGCTCTGCTGCCGACCTTGCTTAAAGATGAAACATAAGAAAATTAAAACTTTAAAGATGCAGCCATTGGTATAATCTTGCATACGGTGGACAACTGAAAAATTACGAAGCATTGTAAACTTAGGAAATGTTCTAAATAAAGATTTAATTTCCTAATTTTTTTTAAAAACTTATAATCAACTGGAATGATTTTTTATGCATACTGTTCTTTTGGATTTACTGGTACAGTGTGTACTGCAGTTAAAATATGTTTTGATAAATGTCATAATTTAATAATTGAAGTATGTATTTGTTTTGTTTTGGAGACTTATAATAGTTTTAGGAATGTAAAAAGAATTTTTCTTGTTTTATTTTTTTTCATATATTATGCAATTGTCATGATCTTAGTTTGTTCAAAGAAAGTTATTACACCATTGTAAGCCAGTGAACAGTGGCAGATTTCTAGAAATTTCACTAGTCTAGAAGTTTCACTTTGTTCCTTCTCTTGAACTACTCGTTCTTGAGGCCTCTTGCCCTGTGTGCTTTTGAGAGGAATTAATTTCAAGGTCATTTACTTTCCCAGGTACTTCTCTGGAACATTGCGCAGATGTGTGTACGATTGAAAACAGCGAGACAGGAAAAGAGCCTTGGCTAGAGCTATCTTTGAAATTTTATCATCATTCAACAGCTTGCTTAATGATTTGACACTTGGCAGAAGGGTTACTTTCATCCGTCATTTTGTAGTTGCATAAAATGTTTAGTGTTAGTCTTGGATTCGTCGTTCATCGCTTGCTGGTGAATTATCTTTCCGATTATCAATATGTTTACGGACCGTTCGATTTGGCCTGGCAGCTGCAAAACATGCGTAGAATGCCATCCGTATCTGTTGGTAATTTATTAAACCAGTGTCTCAAATTGCATGCGGCCTGAATGAACGAATGTACGATTTGAAAGCATTCGACGGCTGATTTTTTCCAACAAAAAGGTTTTTTTTTTACAAAACATTTTAAACTAAGTTTTATTTGTTAGTCATTTATCCAAACATACCTAAATAATATTAATACAACGCAAACCTTGGGAGTAAATAAATTAGAAAAAAAATACTTATCACAATTTGCAAATGCTAACCCCTTCATTTTTTTTAAGAGCCGTATTGGTTCTTTCACAAAGCTTCAAGGGCTAAAAATTCATCACACTATGGTGAGTTGATTATGGTAAATAAGCATACACATGTTTTTTAAATAAAGGCAGCGAAATTTTTGCGACTGGATCTATGCCGTTATGATGATATTAAAAGACTTTTTTAGCTTTCATGTAGTTTTATCTAATATAAATTTCTTAAAATTGTTTAAATGTTTGCAAAAATATTCTTGCCGCAGAATTCCTTCGGTTTGCAATGTAACTTAATTTTTAAATGAGTATATCTCCACGTTGTAAAAATTAATCAGCACCTTTTGTTTACATTTTGATCAAATGAAACTTTTCGCTAATGGATATTTCATATTTTGAGCAAGTTTTGTGTGAAGAAAAAATTAAAGTAAATCACAACATATACAGGGGGGAGGGATTAAAATTTAAGCAAAATCACTGCTGGAATGTTCTATGAACAAATCGGGAGTACTACATAGAAAGTAGATAAAGATAACACGTGAAATCTTTATTCGTTAAAAGTATAGTACACTTTTTTTTTTTTCCATTGAGTATTGCTGTAACTTCACTCATTTTAACTTTAGAAACAGTTGTATAATGTTTATAATATGCTTTATAAAGAATGTGCAAAACAAGCAGTGTATTGATAGATTGGTTGTAATATTAAATGGTTAATGTGTGTGTTACCATTCTTATTTTAAGTTGTATAAAATTATTTTAAAAACCTTTGGCGGGCCGTATTGATAGTGATCGCGGACCGGATCTGGCCCGCGGACCTTAGTAAGGTGTTGGTGTATTTAATTATGGTAAAGCACACTAGGGGTAACTGCCTAAGGGGAGGGATGCCTTCGTGGAAGACTTTCTAAGGGAAACTGGCTCGTATACACGTTACACATGGGGAAAACCACGAAAACACCCATGCAGCCAGCCCGTTCGCGGGATTCGAACCTCGGACCGAAAAAAAATGTCGCTGAACACTACCAGTGTTCAGCGACTTTACCGCTCGGCCGCTGGTGGGCCCTTAGTAAGGAGACCTTGCCTTAGATTAATACTTTGCGCCAGAACCTTGAAAATAGAAAAAATTACTGACATTTTGAAATTTTTAGGCAACAAATAGTTTGGAAATATGTTAATAAATGAACAGATTGTCGGAAGATAATAGAGCTCTAGGTACTTGAAGAATTCTTATGTAATCCGAGGCGACTGGCAGCCGAGCGGTAAAATCGCTGAACTCTGGTAGTTCCAATCTGGGTTCAGGCGCAAGGTTCAGCTTCATTGCAAGCAGGGGTTGTTTTAATTCCTCAGTGAGGGAT